AATTTTTGGTATAGTAGTTGTGACTTATTCACACTATATACATTTGGCTTCCGCAACACTTATCTTTTACTATTTATCTTATTATTTATGTTGATGATCTCATAATTACCGGAAATCACTCACGCTATGTTGAAGACCTTATCAAAAAGCTTGGTACTCGGTTCTCCATAAATGATCTGGGTGATATAAATTTCTTTTTGGGTGTTTAAGTCATTCGCTCGTCCGCTGGTCTCTTCCTTAACCAATAGAAATATATCTGTGAGATATTGAAAGAACCAACATGATAGATGCAAAGCCAATGAGGACACCTACAGCTAGTGGTTCATGTCTAGGTTCTAAAGATGTTTCTCCTCTTGAAGATCCCACAGTATACATGAATGTAATTGGAAGCTTGCAGTATTTGCATCTTACTCGCCCAGATATTGCTTTCATAGTAAACAAGTTGTTTTAGTTTACAAGCTGTCCTACGACAACTCATTGGGCCATGGAAAAACGTGTTTTGCGCTATCTAGCTGGGGCATCGGACCGTGGTTTGTTTCTTCGGAAAAATTCTCCGCTCCTGCTTCATGCCTTTTCCGACTTTGATTGGGCTGGTGATCGGGATGATCGCTCATCCACTACAGCTTATATTGTGTTTCTTGGTTGTCATCCAGTTTCATGGAGTTCTAAGAAACAACGAGCAGTGGCTCACTCTTTAACGGAGGCAGAATACAAGGCAATTGCCTATACTACTGCTGAACTTTGTTGGGTGCGTAATATTCTCAAGGAGTTATCTGTCACTCCTTCTCAGAAACCTGTCATCTACTGCGATAATCTTAGTGCTACATATGTTTGTACAAATCCTGTGTTCCACTCTCGCATGAAGCACATTGAACTTGATTATCATTTTGTCCGTAAATTAGTCCAGAAAGGTCTTCTTCGGGTTTCTCATGTTTCGTCGAAGGAGCAACTAGATGACATGCTCACAAAAGCTCTTCCAAGCGGTTCTTTTGAGCTGTTATGTTCCAAGATTGGTAGCTCTGATCGACCTACCATCTTGCGGGGGCATATTGGAAAGATATCTTAAATGCATTGCAGATTATTCTCTTTCCTTATTTGTAGATTTAGTTTCACTATTTTTAGCTTATTCTTGATTGTACAGATTGTTATTTAGTTTGATTGATTCTTATGGATCCTTTCTTGATTCTTATGGATCCACTCTCTTGTATAAATACCCTGTTAATTATTAATAAAGATCAAGTCTTCTCTGTGAAAACTACTTTACTACCAATCTTGATACCAAATGCTTAGACTAATATGGTCAGCTTCCAGCTTTCTTCAAGTTATTACATTATACCAATATAAACATGGACTGAAGTATAAACTCTTTCCCTTATCCTATTTTCCCTCTCTATAAAGGAGCAACAGAAGTTAAATGGAGGCACTAGGAAACTATTTAAAAGATTGCATCTCAAATGATGCTACAGACAATCTTTTGTAACTTGAAAAATATATAACAACAACTACGTCTCAACCGCAAGCAAACTTAGGTTGGTCATATGACACTTATCATATCGCTACACTTTACCCTCAATCTTTGGTAACTAGAACACTTCTTTTATTAGACATGAGAGGCTTAACCTTCTGTTGAACAAGGAATATAGGAGTGCTCAGGTGAGGCGCCGGGTTGATAAATTTGCAGTTTGGACATGATGATGAAGATCTGCACATCATCACCAACATATGACACTTCTTGCAAACTGCAGTGAACATCTCTTGTTGATCACCATCAAACGTCAACCACGACAGAGAACGAGTGATACCATTCCTTTTGATCTTGGTATCACGACCGGAGTAACTTGAATCGCTAACAGCATTACGTTTAGTGAAGTTGTCAACTACTTGGTTGTTCTCTGATGATCCACATGGTAAATTCAGTTGAAGGTCTAAATTCATATGATCTGGACTCTGTGGTTCAGGATTCAATCTAGGATCTCTTGATGTTCTCTTTTGTGTTCTCGTGTTATAGAAGTATATATCTCCACACTGCATTTCAACCAGAGTAAAGGAAAACAAGGTTAGTCCTGTCACCCAGAGGCGGACCCAAAATTTTAGCTCTGGGTTCAATTTTTAAGGTTTTTAACATTGAACCCATTATATTTTAAAGTCATGGGTTCATATATGCTATTTTTGCGATTTTTGTCAATTTTTACACATAAAGTTATACCCCGCATCGAAAGTTATGGGTTCAATTGAACTCGTCGCCAGAATACTACGCCTGACCCTGCTGTCACCACAATGCTCTTCCTCAAGCACATTTAACGAATTAATTTCAAAGTGTTGCGGAAGCCAAATGTATATAGTGTGAATAAGTCACAACTACTATACCAAAAATTA